TTCACGGTATTGGCTTGGTTTACACAAACTTGACTTGAAAAGACTTAGAAGGATTATAGCCATATAGGAGGATAGGATTCCCTTTCTTTCACGACTACTGTCAAGTAGAGGGAGAAAGTCTTCTCATTATTACCGGAAGTCAGAGCAATTGCCTATCTTCTTTATCGCATTGAGCCAAGTGTGGGATCGAAGCCTTTTGAGCTAACTTAACTGCCGAGAAAGAAGAACTAGCGACTCTCCCTCTCGACATGTTCAAGCTTTAAAAGAGCTAATTCTAAGCCTGGCCACTCACTCAATTAAATTAAGGTCTTGGCTTAGCCATTAATTCTATTAAGGTAAGCTTTCCCATCTCTGAAGTCAAGTCTTTATTCAAACCATGCTACCACTAGGGATGGCAGTCAATAGCTCTAAGATCACATCGGATTCGAACCCTCAGGTGACTTCACTCGCTTAATCGAAATCTCTTTCCCTCTTTCTCGGACTGGTCTTTCTTTATAGGACAAGTCAAAGATAGATTGCTATTTCCCGGGTAGAGAAGCCACGCTTTGCTCTTGATGGTCATATCGAAGAAAGGTTATAAGAACTGTTCTTGGAAGGCTTTGTCCCCGGTCTTCTTCTCCTAACTCAAATTCCATTCTTCGAAACAGAAGGACGGCCTGCCCATAAGAAAGAGAAGAGGTTTATCCATGTAAAAAACACAATAGACGAGCTCAGAAGACCTTGCCTTTGAGTCAAAAAGATAGCGAAGGAGCTTTTATACGTTAGCAGCGAAGAGGACAGGACTACAGAAGGAATCGCCGTTAAGGTTAAGGCTCAGATGCGAATCAGCCGTAAGGCAGCATAGAAAGGAATAAGTCTTAAGCCAAACTGACCAGAGATAAGATTTACATGGATCCCAAATGAATGATTGGCTTACCTACATATACACGAGAAAGCCATACACTGAATGTCTACGGACATTAAGAATTATGAATCTGCAACAAAATGATAAGACGAAGTCCGAGCGGCTACTCTTATTACATTACGATATAACCAGCTTTACTACTCGGTCTTATCTTCGCTGCATAGCTACTTTGCTCCTTGCGGTGAAGGAGACTATTGACTAAGACTTAAGAATTTTATTGAGTTGTTCAAAGGTGTTAATGGGCTGAGCCAAAAGGTATTCATTTCAGCTTTCTATTCAATAAGCACTAGCTCGCTGGCATTTAGATAGAACCTACTCTCCTGCCATACTCACCTCCATCCCAAAGCCCTAATTTCTGTAGGTACAGCATGCATAAAACACAACGCGTAGGGATTAGGATTCCGCCGAGTTGAGCAATGATCTAATTGGAGCAGCTTGCTAGCGCTAACATTCCCGGGACCAAGAACGAACAAGCGTAAATAGATAGATAGAAGGATTTATCGAAATCATAAATGATATAGAAGAAATTCATTCTTCAGTCCATTCGCGAGCTCGATCTATCATTTCTCCACCAGGTGAGGAGTATTGAAATTACATTTAGTGAGTCTCGTATAACTGCAAAAACGACACTTTCTGGTTTTCACTAACTCATTCGAAATCGCGAAAAATGAGTACTTTTGACCACTCTAAGCTACGCGACTCACCCATTAAATGCCCTTCGCCTTGGCTTAGGGGCCTATCTACACTAGGTATCCTTTCGGCGCAGCTAGACCTTCGGACCAACCCTTCACGAATCACTCATTGATTCAAAAAATCACACAAACAATACATAATTTAGAACTAATCCATGGGCCTTTAAATACCCATCGTCCCCTCGGATTTTAGTCGAGCATCTCCGACGCGGCCTCTTCCCCTTACTAGAATAAATATAATAAAGCTCAGCTCTTTCAGATCCCGAATCCCCATTCCCTTCTAAGCGCATATGGCACGGGAAGAGGTCTATCTTCCCAGAGGGGGTAGTAGGTAGTAGAGCTTCTATATGATATTAGAGTCTATTTGAATTCCTTCAACAAAAGAGGGTCCTGCGACTCAAAAGAAGAGTTTGATCCTTGCTCTGCCTTGAAACCTGCTAGCCGCTTTTGACTCATGCTAAAAATAAGCTTTTTTGGCCACGCTGCAAAATTGCCCTCTCGGGGAGTATGTTGCAGCGCCAGTTTCTTTGCAAGAGCTCCCTTATGTCAGCAATCACGCTCCCAAGAGGATGAACTCTTATATCAGCAGCTCGGGTAAGATCCAAGCACACCTTAGCATCCAATTCACAAAGGATATCCCTAAAGCCTTCTTCCCATGCGAGAAAGATCCCAAAACTCCGTGCCTGCAATTCTGCACTAATGTTAGAGCAGATTCCAAAATGCATCTTGAAACCCACCAGCCACTGACCAGAGCCATTCCTGTGATCAAACCTCCACCCCCAGCCCTAAAGGATTTTTTAGCAAAAAAGCTATTTCTCTCTCAAATGTCGACTCATCCACATCCTCCGCCTGCTGTCTCAAACGTGGTTTGAAAAAGATGCTATTTGCGATCGGGACTTCGCTTCTAAATTACATGGGTCTCACTTTGCTCTCCTTGGCAGACTTGGAGGTTCATTTAGCAGGCTTTGGCCAGTGAGTCCCTGGAGCCAGGCCCACGCTCACGTACGAGTAGACGATCGGCTAACGGACCCAACCATCCCGTCGACTTATCAGACATTGATTGATTGTAATTGAGTTGACTGACTCAGGAACTTTCCAAAGGAATGCACGAGGGTCAACGAAGTTGAGGCTTGCTTTGTTAGTTGAAAAATCGTATTCTAATTACAGTCAACACAGTAGCTGTAACGTGAGGATCCATGTAATTGAGAAACCTTATATGGGCCCGTGCTGAATGAAAAAGTTTCCCCCATTCAATTCTCAATTATATCGAGCCTCTCTTCGTCAATGCTTTTAGGCGTTCTGGTTTTGCTTCGAATTAAGAAGCACACCGGGCTTTAGTCGGAATAGGCAAGCCTTTCTAACAAGAAGTCAAAAAGGAATGAATATCAAAATGAAGAGGAAGCTTTCTGAAGTATGGATCACAGTTTGATCCAACCGGTCCCACTCTTCCTTCACCCGGATTGATCTTTCCGTATCTCCATCTTCTCCATCTGAGGGAAGTTGTTCTATGGGGGCCCCTCCGGTCTCCAATAGTTCCGCTTCTGAGGCGTCCACTGGGATCCGAGATGAGCTTACTTATTATTCCCCAATGGATCTAAATATGACTGACATGAGTGAAGAATTTAGAAATGTGTGTGTCTTTTTTAAAGGGAAAATCTAATATATAGGGGCCCATCCACCTGGACTCTCGAAGGATTTACCCAGCTGGTGCTTGGGGAAGAGGATCGATTACATTGATCTCAATTACATCTTTAGAAGCTTTTTTCAGTCATAGACGCATCTTTCTTTTCTTAATTGACTATAGAAATTCGGAGAGATTACATTGAGTTGAATAGAAAGTTTAGAGAAAGGTTCCCCAGGATTTCAACCTTACGCGACCGGACATTTCCACAATCCCCGCTCATTAACAAAGAAATCCACAGTGGCATATAATAGAGATTCCGGTACTGGGCCAATAGTAAGGCTAATTAACGTGTCCGAGCAATTCAGCCATCGGTCCCACCAGAATAGCACTCTTCGGCCATCCCCCAAAGACCACCGTACTCCCGTTATCACGTTACGCCATACCTTGCTCAAGGCCTGGAGTACAACTGACCCTTTTGGAAATTCCAAATTTTCATGCATCTCGAGTGGGGTTAGTTTATACTTCACCCTCAAAGCCTGAACTCACAGGACGTCAGGTTTGGTCAAAAAGATCCACCCTAACTTCATGACTAGCGCTTCGTTCATCAGGCGTTGATTCTGAAGTCCCAAACCTCCGCAACGTTTTGGCTTACAAACAGTCTCCCAGTCCACCAAGCTCACCTTTCTATCTGTCGTTGTACCTCCCCATAAAAATCTTCGACACTTCTTTTTCCAATTCGTCGCACACAAAATACGGAAGTCAGACCGTTTGCATAGTGTAGAAAGGCAAACAACTTACTACCGATTGTACGTCAGTGGCTCGGCCCGCCATTGATAACAAAGCAGCTTTCCACCCCGAGAGACGGTTCTCCGTTTTGTCCAGGATCCTCCCATAAGTCTGCTTATTAATTCTACCGTGAATAAGAGGGACCCCTACGTCTCAGATCAGTAACCGTCGTAAAATCGAGCAGTCTACTAAGCTCCTCTCTCTTGTCAGTCCCAACATTATTGGAGAAGAGGATTCTAGTTTTCGACGCGCTCACTTTCAGTCCAGAAGCCTGGCAAAATGAATTTAACACGCCTTTCAAGCACAGGGCCTGATCCTCCGTCGCCTCTGAGAACAGAAGTCAATCATCTGCAAACATCAAAGAAGGTACTCGTACCGAGCCTCTACCAATGGAAATTGGCCGCCATCTGCCCTCAACAACTTCTAAGTGTATCAGGTCAATGTAATCGAGCCATACATAGCACAAACAAATATGGGGACATTAGATCCCCTTATCGAATTCCTCTCGAGGGCCGGAACTGATCACTCACCTGCCCGTTAAACTGAACCCGCATCGAGGCCTGAAGAGATAGACGTCGATATTCCCCGCACAATGTTATCCGAAAAGCCAGCGAGTTTAAGTGTTTCGACAACAAAGTCCCACCGTAAGAGATCGTACGCCTTCTCCAGATCTACCTTGACGACCATAAAGCCGGTTTTACCTTTCTTCCTTCGCATGCTATGGATCAACTCCTGGGCCATGATAATATTATCAGAAATCTAGCGTCCCGGGATGAAACTCGATTGCGCTGGCCCTATTAATCTCGGTAATATAGGCTTCAGCCGATTTGCCAAGACTTTGGTCGTGAGCTTATATACTACATTTAATAGGCTGATAGGGCGCAAATTTTTTATCTCCTGTGGATCATCTACCTTTGGGACAAGGACAATAAGTGTGTCGTTTATCCCATCCGGCATAACACCGTCATGTAAAATCTGGCGGACTAGATCGCATACAGGCTTACCTACTCGCGGCCACTGTTTCTGGAATCAAATGGCATGTAAGCCATCCAAACCCGGCCCCTTTAATGGCGGCATTTCGTTCAGGGCTCTCAAAATTTCGTCGTCTGAGATCGCCCAGTTCAGCACAATACGTTGAGCCCTTTCGACCTGAGGAAAATAATTCGGCCAGTGGAGACTTGCGTTGTGTGTTCCCTCGTCCGTATATAATTGCGTGAAGAAACTTACAGCGAGTTCCTGCATTGTTGACTGATCCTCGACAAGCCTACCACCTTCATCTCGAAGGAACATAATTCTTTCCGTCTTTGAGTTTGAACCCGGCGGTGAAAGAATGCCGTATTTCGGTCGCCAAATAGGGTCCAATCACGCTGGGACTTCTGAATTAAGATAATCTCCTCCTGAACCATAACTTCATCCAGTTCCTTCCTCAAAACCACCTCCAGCCTCTTAAGTTTTGCAGAATGGTAACGTTGTAAACACCGTTGTATACCAGCGAGTCTCGCCAATAGTTCTTTTTTGCCATTAAATATGTTGCCAAAAACATTCACATTCCATGACTTTACTTGAGCGTGGAAATCATGTACCGCCTCCAGAAAAGGTTTCCCGTCTGTCC